TTCTAATCCTGTAAAGAGAGACAGTTTTTAAAGAAAAGTCCCTTATAAACTGAGGTACCCACCTGCCTTCCTGCATTTAGTTTGAAAAAATATTGGGGGATGTTCAATTGGGTTGTTTCTTTTATTCTGTTTTACCTCATGACAACTAAAATTAGACTCATGCTAAGAATGAAATATGTCATATAGAAAGAATGCTGTCATCTGCTTTTATTTAAAAATGTTTTAGAAACCAATTCAATACATGTTAGAATTTTAAGTAATCGCCTAGTCTCTGTTCTTCCATTTCATTGACAAGACTGTAGAGGGGCCTGAGACCTCCTAAGCAGTCAAGAGAAGGGAGAGCCCCCTTAGATGGGGCCCAGGCTTCTTGACACCAGGCTTGTGTATATACTATCACTGTGGATTTTACACTCACTGAAACAGAAAACAAAGAAAATGTGGATTTCCTGCAACCTTGCAATGGCCACTTCCATGTTTTGGTTTTCTAATTTGTAAAACACATAAAGGTTAATGTTCAACATTCCAGTTAATACAAATAAATAAGAGTCTTGTAAGGTTGCTAATCGTTAATATTCCCTATTATCTTTGTGTGTTCTTTCTCAGTGAGCACACAGACCAGCAGATAACATAAAAGTAAACCATTTCTTTTGCAGTGTCTGCAGTGAAGCGCTAAGTTACTTCCTTACTCTAACATCAGAAAGTCACCGAGAGGCCTGGACTAACTTACTGCTGCTGTTTCTAACTAAAGTTCTAAAGATCAGTGATAACAGGGTAAGTCTGAGGCTTCCTAACCAGCCCTGGACCTCTGGCCCACCCCCGCAAGGACGGAGAGGCTCAGGCGGGGGTGCCCACTGGCCCTCGGAGCCTGGCTTGGTTGTTGCAGCTGCAGGACCACATGCCCCCTCAAATGTGCCCTCTACTCCATGCTTCTGTAAGGGAACTGACAGAAGTAAGTTGGGCAAGCTTTCAGGTAATCCCAGCTTCAGAATTCTTGTTCTGGCCCTGGAGATACTGAAATTCCCCATTTTAAAAGCAGCTCTCCAGCCATTCCCCAGCCTTGCACTCTGCTCCACCTAAGGCCGTATGTGGTTGCTGGGCCTGTGTTCCAGGCTATGGTCATCGTTTAGCAGAGTGACTCATGTGATCAGAACCTCTCATAAAAAGGCCATTTACTTAAGAATTATAAGCCAGCAAACATAAAGGTAAAAAGCAACTATATAATAGTGCATATGCATTCATATTTAAGCTTTTCAAAAATCCACATTTTTATACTTAAAAAAGTATAGCAACTTACATCTTACAAGGAAATTTGCCTTGCTATAGCCCCCAGACAAGTATAAAAATACCTATTCTGGTGGCCTGATACTCAGAACTTTAAGTCTTAGTGGTGCATGAGACCCTGTGGAAGCAGGAAGCCTTTTGGTGTTGCTGTGTTTATGCCAAGTTACGTGCCTTGTGTCCTGCTTGTTTCCAAGTAACTGATGGTCCAGGTAGGGTTTGAAAAACCTCAAACCTCAGAATGTTTTACTTTACTGCTTGCATTCTTGCCACTGTGTATCATGCTGCTTCCCTGTATCTAGTGGGGTGCAGAAGAGCAGGAGAGAAAACAGCATGCTAGTATATAGAGAAGATCGAACTACGGCAGAGGTACAGACCAAGTACTGTATGTAAATTGAACTTTATAAATGGAATGGACAGTTTTGCTTGGAGAATTGTTCATATGTTTTATATTGCAGCATTAGATAGAATTTCCCCTAAAACTTAAATGTATTAAACAAAGCATACAAATCCAATGACCCTCATAAAATTCAAGTTCAGGCCAGCAGTAGCTCAGCGGACTAAAGTGCCTGCTCAGGCAAGCTTTAGGCAAGCGCAGGGACCGCAGTTGGATCCCCAACACATGCCACATGCCATACCAGCCCTGCCCCCAGCGTCGGGGTGTGGTGGTGCACACTTATAATCCCAGTACTGGGGAGGCTGAAAGCAGGAGGATCACCACAAGTCTGAGTTGCATAGTGAGACCCTGCAACAACCAAATACATTAAAAAATAGTAATAATAAAAAAATTCAAGCTCCTGGTCAGGTTCTTACTGTTGCTCACTGCCTAAGAAGAAATGCTAAGTTAGTAAAAGCTTTTCAGAGATACATAGTGGAAAATGTTGTTTAAAACAATGAATGGTAGATACATGAACTGGTTTTGTATTGAGTTTTTACCATTGTTCTCAGTCTTTCAGTTCCTTATAAGCCATGTAGTCAATCCATGTAGTCGCTGCTCGACATGTCCCAACTGCTGACTCCTAAAGAAGTTTTAGGCTTTTTGGTTTGCAATGCAAGCACTACTAATGGAGAAATTCATGTTCCCCCCAGTTTAAAGCTCATGCATCGTTCTACTACCCTCTTTTATGTGAAATTATGCAATTTGACTTGATCCCTGAACTTCGCGCCGTCCTTAGAAGATTTTTTCTGCGAATTGGAGTAGTGTTCCAGATATCACAGCCATCCGAGCCGGAGCTTGGAACAAGCAAGCAGTGATGAGAATTTAGCTTTCTTCTGTTGGCGTTTACATCTTTTGGCTCTTTAAAGGAACCCAGGAGCTGAGGTTTCCTACCTAAAAGACTTTCTGAAAGGCAGCATCTGAAGGTTACTGGTAAAGTTGCTTACACCTATAACTCAAGCAAGCTTCAACACTCCAGTCCCTTTTTATAACTTGGTGGATTCTGTGTATCTAGTCGGGCTCATGTTGAGCAGAAAGCCTGTTTAAACTGTCGGCTCGTGCTTACAGGCTGTCCCTGTCCTCTGGGGACAGAGAGAGCCCACATATTTTTGGCAGGCGTAAAGTGAAATTTACCCAAAGAACTATAGATGTAAAGATTGAACTTCTATAAGAAGTACAACTCAGGAGAGCTGTATTTTGAAGGATAAAATGTTTATAATTGGGGGGGTGGGAGAAGAAATTATTGTTCATGGTAAAAGATATTTAGCAACTATGGTATTCTGAAAATTTTTGCACACTCAGGCTTATCTGAGATTCTGGTAATCATCCTTCTGTGAAAATGTACAGAGATGCAGGCCTGTAATATAAAACTCTTAAAACATTATATAGTTTTTCCTGCACTGTTTTATTTTATTTTCTTAACCCATTTGCTAAACACCCATAATATTTTGTCAAATGCACTAAACATTTGGATTGATCTTTGTCTTTATTTTGTTGGGATTTTTTAGTTTTCCTCTTTTGGGGGGAGGGGGGGCAGGGATTGTAATTTTGAGGATTTGACATGCCCAGAAGCTGTTTTGGCTGACACAAAGATCAACACACTTGCAAAGATCAACACACAGGGGGCATAAAAAAGGAAAACACCCCTACTGATGAAAACTACCTGTAATATATTTAGGGCTTTTACAGATGAGCCATTAAAATAGAATGATCCTTCATGGACCGAAACTTGAATCACTGCAAATGAATCTAGGTTGCTGTCACTTTCTTTTCTTTTGGGTGGCGGGGCTTGATGTAGATTTCCTCTCTGTACAGAATTTAATGTTGAATATATTAAAATAACAAATCTGGCATGGCTTGGGGACGTTAGATTTTTGGAAATGTATTCATACTGTGAATTGTGCTCTGATGGTTTAAAGACAAGATTGTCAAGCATTCCGTATTAACAGTGGATGTAGAAAATTTTTTCAGATGGATTAAAATGTATATGGTACAGATGTAAAGTTTTCTATGTAAAAAATTCTGTACAACTTTCTGTACAATATTGATTCTCATCTGGCATATTCTAATCAGGTTATAGGTCAATAAAGTTTTTGAATTATTTCATCAATGCAATCAAACCTGTGCGACCCACAGCTCCATGTTCCATTGATTCTTTTTTAAATTTTTTACATTAAAAGCCAGACTATAGAAAGGATATTTGCAGTGAAAACTATAAAGCAAGAATCTGCTACTTGGTTTCAATTTATGGCATTAGGTCCTGCCTTGCTTTCTCAGCCAGAGGATTTCTTAGGAACCAAAATAAAGTCATATATTATTTGAAACCAGAGAAAAAAAGCAGATGTTTCCTTTGGGCAGTTTGCATTGTAATATTGTATATCTTCTGAGAGTCCCCTCAAGTTATGTGATACATAACTTAAACATTGAATGTCAGGTTAATAATATAAGAAGGCTTTGTTTAAAAAAAGCAGGAAACATAGTCTTTGCTTTCACATCGCACAAGTTACTAAACAGTGTATTATCTGTGTCTCACAATAATCACCTGTGAGACAGCTCTGTTGAAGCCCAGGTGGATGCTAGTGCCAAGAGTTACCTGCCTTACTGGCTGGGAGCCACAGTGCCCTTCCAGTGTAATTCAGTTTACTATTTCATGGTATCAAGACTCACTAGGAGAAATAGCCTGCTGCTTTCAGGAGATAACAGAAGTCTTTTTTTTTTCTTGGCAGAACCAGGGATTGAACTCAGACCCTTGTGCTTGCCAAGGAAGTGCTTATTCTACTGAGCCATCTCCCTGTCCCCTAGAGAAGTCGTTAATACTAAAGCAAATAGAGGTTAAGATTAGAAATTTAAGTATAAAATGTACTTGTAGCCAAAACTTGAAATATCAAAAAGTTCAGTTGCGGCAAATTCTTCTGATCTCACCTGTTATGTCTGTAAAGATGTCAGAGAAACAGTGTCTGGGTATTCTCAGCTGTCATGTATGTGCTAAAAAGATTAACAAATAATCATTTCCCAGAATTTGAATTAACCTTTCCTTATTTAGACCTTGAGTGACTAGAAAGACTGACAGGTTTATCAAAGGGTCTGTGATGACAGAACAAAGATTGACAGCAGGCTGTCACATACCCACAGGGGTTCCTGCTTCAGCCTCTAGAAACCGTAATCCTAGGTAAAATAAATGGACATCGGTAATAAAAATAAAAATTTATTTCTATCAAGAAGTAGTTAAATCATATAAATTAATAAGTTGACACAATTATCTTTCACCATCATAAAAATGAAAGAGACAGAAAGAACGTTTAGTGTGTGGCTCATGGGTATAAAATTACGGCCCCCTTAATTTCTACTAAATCACCCAGAAATGACATGAAAGCAGCCTATTTGAGCCCCTCATTATATAACAATGAGAACAGTCACAGGTATAACAGATTTACTAACTGAATTCTTCTGAACAGAAATAACAATGGCAAATGTGCAAATAACAAAGGTAACTGGTTTACAGCATTGTTAAAACACACATTTCATTCATCTTAATGACAAGCAGAATTTAATGCACATATGGTAGTTCATTACCATCCTAATTATGGAAAAATTGTGCAAAAATAATTATATAAATCAATCATGGCCATATATATATATATATATATATATATATATATATATATATATAATCATCATGGAAAAAATACACTTTATACAGAGAAGGACCCTAATTTCATGTAGGGACCCAAAGTACAACATTAATGGCACAGATTTGACATTCCTTTCACCTTAAAAGGCACTACTAGGTCCATTACAGATTTAGTTAACCATGGGCAGTAGACAGGCCCTGCCAAGTAAAGGTGCCTGGCTTTCTAGGAGCCTGCTGTTGCTCCTGGTTGAGCTGTTCAGCCATGAAGTGTTTCAGTGTTTCTGAGGTGCCAGGGCGGAGCCACGGCTCAGTTGCTACAGAGTTTGATCCATCATCACCCTCGTGTTTCATGATGTCATCAGGGTCAACCAGTGAACTTTCATCATCTATGGGAGACAGAGATGCATGACTCAGATAACACATGGTATGCAGGCAGCACACAGTTTTCCTGTAGCCCGCATCACTCCACAGTATTATGTTCTCAATTGTTCTGTTCAGATCCCACCTCCTTTAGAGGCAAGAAAGCAAAGGGGAGGATAATCAACTGAATAAACCCATTCTGTGGCACCAGCACACAGGGCAATTCAGGTATATCAATCAAAGGAAACTGAGACACTGATCACAGAAGCACAAGAAATCTTTTAACTATTACCTTAAAGAAAGACATAATGGATATGAGTCAGAATTTAGGTTTGAGGAACACAAACAAACCATAACGCTGCTGTATGGAAATTAAACATCATTTTGGGAAAGCACCAGTTGGGATGGAATTACTTTTTTTCTTATAATTACTGTAAGAAGGCTGTGTCTATCCATAAAAGGACTTCTCGTTCTTTAGTTCAATTTGATTGTATTCAACTTTCATATCTGTTTTTTACATTATTTATTTATTAGGTATAATAGGAAAATCTATCATCCTGCCCTGTGATGTCAGCTTCTTTTTTAAAAAAAAAAAAATTACATCTCCTGGTCTGTGCAGGATTAGCCGAGCACAGGGGTATTTACAATCAGTTTAATGAGCAGTCAATCCACATTGTATCAAAAAGCTCCTGTTTGAAAGGACAGTTTTAAACAAGTTTAAATTTTAAAACCCTTCTGAAAGTACTTAAAATGCTCTAGGATGTATCTTCTCAAATGTACACGTGTATTCATTTACTAGGGTTTTTTTTTTTTTTTCATTTACGAGTTTTAAAAGAAGGAAATGCAACTCCTAATGCGTATGAAAAGAAAATACCTTCAGATGTAGATAAGGCCTGCTGAAAAAATGTTCCTTCAGTTTGCCATATTTGCTAGTGAACACTAGCAGTGTGGAATTATAACCATCAAAACACATCACAGCTAGACAGCTACCAAATATATGAGGTGTGATCAAAAAATTGATGTTCACCAAATTTTTTAAAATTACTGTGGTAAAAACATATACAATTAATCCCCCCTCAAAATACTCTCCCTTGCTTTGAACACAGTATGCCAGATCTAGTGAATAAGATGGATGAGGACTCCATCATATTCACTGCATGGTGACAGGTAGCAGGTTTTTTTTTTTATCATGTTTATTAAAGGTGTTCATAAAAGAAGATTTCTAGAACTGCTTCAGCAAGGGGCAAAAACAGTGGACATGTCTGAAGGAAGGATGACAAAGTTTGAGGGACATTCATGGCAGCATTGCATTTTACTGCAATGAATTTTTGAACACCTTTTTTTTAGCAGCTTTTGTATGAGATTCTAAGTTAACACAGTATTTCAGAATTAGAAAAATATTACAGTATAGTATTACAGTATAATAGACTATGAAGAGAGAGGTTCAAACAGACCATTCTATTATGTACTTAAGCTAACCATGATAACATAAAGTTGTCCCATTACCCAGTGCCTAGTGGTGTAAAATAAAAAAGGTATTATTGAACTGGCAGAGCAGCTCAGTAGTTGTCTAAGGAACTGTGACACCTGTGCTCCATGACAAGCTTTCTTCACAGCACATCACCAAATGCGCTAAGAAGACTGTGACTTCTATATGAACCAGTGAAGCCACGTATGAAGGTAAAAATTTTGTTGGTAATATTAGAGATATTTATAATAGATGTATTAAAAAAGAAAACAAGTCTTAAAATGAGTTTCTGATAGTCTCTCACATTAGTAATTACTAAACCATACCAATGAACATTTTTTCCTGCTGAGAACAGAGTATGGCTATATTTCATACGCAACAGCTAAACTATTTTAACCATTTAGAATCCACACTAAATCAGATACCTCTCTACTGGAGAAAATCTGATGCAATACTATTCCTAAGATAGGTTTTGCTGGATAGTTTTGCTATGTCCTGGGCCATACATTTCAAAGAATGCCAAAACATTCATTCCTTCTAGCCATCAATGAAAAACTAATGTAAGGCAGGTTTGATTTATGCTCCTATAGGATCTGCTATAAGCCATTAAACTTTACCTGTATTAATAGGTTTATTTTGAAGTTCAGTCAGTCTTCGCATTCTTTCCTCATTTCTCATTCTAAGCTGATCAATATTTGCACTGGAGACAGATCTTAAAGAGAGGCCATCTGGTGGTATCTTAGGACAACTGATATCCTGAAGTTAAAAATTTCAGAAATATGAACAAATCAGTGAATTAAAATGTTCCTGACCTCAAATATACACTGTGATTAACAAAATAAAAGAGGTGAATGAAGCATCTGTATGGTGACTCCTGTGTTTATCCACACAGACTTGATGACGTTCAGTCAAGGTAAGGTATAGCATTTATGATAACAGAAATGCTGGCAAACACTGACAAAGTTTGGAAATTATGAGACACACAAAAGGAAAACATTTGAAATACTATGGGCTAAAACTCAGTCCAGCTACAATACTCAAGATACTGTCGTAGTGGCATAAAGGTAGGCAAACAGGTCAGTGGAAGAAAGGAATCTAGAAATCCTTAAATTCCTGGGATGAGGAAGCAACAAAATGCTGTAAGGGGAAAAAATGGACTTTCTGACAAAAGCTACTAGAATAACTGCATGTCTACATGCAAAAGAACGGACCTGGGTCATCTATCCTGGCACTGAAAGTATATTGTAGACCTAAATTTAAGAGCAAAATGTATAAACCATTCATAATCCTGCATTATACAATGTTTCTCAGATAAGACATCAAAAGTCAAATGATTAAGAAAAGAATGGACATGTTGCACCTCATCAAAATTTAGTACTTCTATGCTTCAAAGGACACTGAAGAAAGTAAAAAAGGCACCCTACTGAAGGAGAGAAAATACCTCCAAACCATACCACTGTCACAGAACTTAGAGCCACAATGTATAAGGAAACTTTATTTTACCTTTTGTTTTTAGTGCTGAGGACTGAACCCAGGACTTCACCTCGCTAGACAAGAGTATTGACACTGAGCTAAATCTCCAACCCCAGAAACTTTAAAATTCAGCAATAAAAAGACAATTTGAAAACGGGCACAGGATTTGAACAGACCTTTCTCCAAAAGACATAAACAAGTGGCTAAGAAGCATATGAGAAAATACTTTCTCATTAGGGAAGTGCAATTTTAAACCTATTAATATCACTGAACATTGAGTAGAATGCTATCATCAGAAAGATAGGAAATAACACATGCTGGCCAGGGCATACAGAAGTTGGAACCCTCACACACTATGTGAAAAATGACTGTACAAAATACGAATGTATAATAGTGCAGCTGCTTTAGAAAACAGTCTCGCATTTATCAAACTGCTCAATGTAGTGTGACCGTGTAACTCAACAATTCTATTCATAAGTGCTTATTAGAAATGGAAAGAAAAACCTGAATATGATGAATATTAATAGCAACTGCTTAAGTCTTTTGGCTAATATCAAGTGAAATCTTCAAGCAGCAATCAGAATCATCAAAAAATGAAAATGCAAACTATCCATCAATTGCTTAATGAACTCTGCATAGAATGGAACATTATTCAGCAATAGAGGAATCAAGTACTGACACAGTACACATCAGAGATAATCCACCAAAACAAGTCAGCCACAAATGATAATATGTGCTGCCTGACCTCATATACAAAATGTCTAAAAATGAAAATCTTTAAAGCTGTACATGTAATAATGCTAATTAAAGACAGTAACTTTCTTGTTGAGAGCTTCCTGTACACTTGGCTCAGTGCTAAGTGCTTCACATAAATCACCTTGTGTGCAGAAGAAAATATACATAGACTTTACAATACATACTACCCAAAGCTGACTACCCAAGGAAGAAGTGACACTGGAATGTGTATGTGCCGAAGATGCCAACAGCTGCACTTTTTATTGGCTACACTGTAAAGCTATGCAACAGAGTGAAGAGAAAATGGGTTTGAGTCCCAGCCTTGTTTATGTGACCAAGGCTAGGTTACTTGATTCAGACATGCCTGTATCACATTATTAGGATACAGCAGGCTTTCTCATAGTTATCAGTTGCTTCTTGTGCCTTCTCTGACCTATATGTTCTACAGGGTGAAAGACAAAGATTGGGGTGATGAATTAACATTATTAGGATAAGTTTCTTTTTTTGGTACCAGGGATCAAATTTAGGACCTTGTGCCCACCAGGCTAGGACAAATTTCTTTACCAGTTACAGAACTTCTATTATAGCCACCAGAAGAGACAAAATACTGTTTTACCTTGAGGAAGCCAAGACAATAGAATTAAAGCTTTTTCCTTTCCAGGTACTGGGAATTGAACTCAGGATCTTGGGTTTGCCAGGCAGGCACTTGTGCCACTGAGCTAAATCCCTAGCCCTGGCAATAGTTAAAAGTAGGACCAATGAGCTAGCTGGTGCAGAGCCTATGTTGACCATGTCTTTCATTTCTAAACAATTGCTCTTGACTGGACCACACAAACATAGCCTGGGCCAGAACCTAGACCACTCACTCTTATAAACTAAAGGGAAATGATATTGCATACATACAAACTCCAGTCCTTTCAATTTGTTCCTCCTGCGCTCTCTCGCAGAAGACATCTGTGATGGCTGAGGGAGGGCATCATCATCTATGGCAGAGTATGTCTCCCCATACGCACCTAAATGAGTCACACAGAATGAAGTCTGTTCACATGGTTTCAAATATTTCATCCAGAGCTAAACCACAATGTTATTTACAACCTATAACACACACCCATTGTATGTATAGAGTTCAGTGATTTTTAGAGAATTTACAGAGTTGTACAATCATCACTAAAATCTAGAACATTTCTATCACCTCAACTCCTTCATGCTCAATGGCAATCAGTTTCCAGCTCCAGATCAACACTATTGTGACTTAATAGATTTATCTTATTTAACATATACATGGAACTCTCTGGTAATCTTTGGTGTCTTTTCCTTAGCATAAGGGATCTGAGGTTCTTCCACTGCTGTGTCGTGTCATTAGTACATTTTGTTTGATTACTGAACAGTACTTCACCAAATGGGATCACATTTTATCTGCAAATTCACAAGTTGGTTGACATTTGCTAGCTGTTGTCATAAATAAAGCTATAAACATTCATGAAGAACTGTTTCGGAGGTGTATACCTAAGAGTGAAGTGGCTGGACAATATAGTAACTGTAACTATCAAAACATTTTCAAGATAATTGTATCATTTTACATTGAAAGAAGCTTCCAGTTTCTATACATCCTCACCCACACTTCATATTATTGGGGATTATTTTGTTATATCCATTCTGGTGGTTCAATAGCCTACGAGCATGAACATCAGGCCATATAATTTTGAATTTTTCATCAGTGTTTGAAAATTTTAAACCAAGAGAAAAATTATAATAAAATGAGTATTTAGAATCATCATGTATACTTTTCTAATTTCTATGCATATTTTGAGGGATAATATTTGTTTATGTTGAGCTGCTTTGTTAAAAACAGAAAGGTGGAGAATTCATGACACTTCTAATATTTTGGCATGTCTCTTCTAAGAATAAGAACTGATTCTTATACCTAATCATTCTTATACAGTATTCTTATTCATAATTAGCAATAATTATGTTCAGAAAACTTAACTGATGTTTATGTTTTCCAAATTTATATTGCCCATCTTTAAAAAAAATAGTAATTACTGTATTTCACTAGGTGGGACATAAGAATTTTACAAATTCAAAATAAAATTTTTAAGTTTTTGTATATATTTCCATTAATTCATTTTTAGCACCACTTAAGTTCAAAGCACATCAGCAGGAAGTCTGGTGTTCCTCACTCCCCTGCAGCCACCGGCTCCCCAAGCCCCAGCATCTGTCACCGTAGTAGCACTCTGGACTCTCAGGGAACCTACACATGCTATACATTCAGTGCTGTACATTCTTTGGGCTTCATTATAACTAGTAGTATACACAATGGTTTCCCTGCCCTCAAAGTCCTCTGTGCTCTCCCTATCTTATCCCTTGCCCTCCCTTAACTCCTGGCAACCACTGTCTCTATGGCCTTGCCTTTTACCAAATGTCATAGCTGGAAATACACAGTACTGTATGTAGCATTCTCTGGTTGACTTCTTTCACTTACAAGCATTTAAGGTAAAAGTTTCTTCCATGTCTTTTCATGGTAGCTTGATTGCTCATTTCTTTCATAACACTGGATAATATTCCATGTGCTACTTTTTTTTTTATCTACTGAAATATATCTTGGTTGCTTTCAAGCTTTGGCAATCACACATCATGACTGGTATAAATACACATGTGTAAGTGTGTGGACTTAAGTTTTCAAGTCCCCTGGGCCAATACCAAAGAATGGAACCACTGGACATTATGGTAAGATGTTTACCTTTAAGAAACTGCCTGGGGGCTGGGGCGATGGCTCAGTGGAATAAGCGCTTCCCTGGCAAGTGTAAGGGTCTGAATTCAATCCCCGGTTCAAAAAAAAAAAAAAAAAAAAAGGATGCTGCCTGTCTTCCATAGTAGTTATACAATTTTCTAAGAGTTTTCAAGCTGATTCCTACAGATTTTCTACAATTAATCATGCCATCGGTGAACAAAGACAATTACATTTCTTTCCATTCAACAGACCTTTAATTTCTTTTTCCTGTCTTACTGTACAAATCAGGAGTTCTAGTACAGTGGTAAGAAGTGGTCTGATTCTTTAAATGTTCTTTTATCAAGTTGGGGAATTTCACCTCGCTTACTAGTTTGCAGTATTACCACAAAGAAATGCCAGGTTTTATCTATGTTATCAAATTTGCAGGTACAGAATTGTTCAATAGTATTCCTTGACCATCTTTTTAATGTCCATGACATCTGTATTGATGCCCTCTGTTCCCATCTCTGGTATTAGTAACTTATGTCTTTTTCTCTGTGTCTCCACCCCTTAGCCTGGCTAGAGGCTTATCAATTTTAGTGGTTATTTCAAAGGGGAGCACTTGGCTCTTGGTTTCACAGGTTTTCTCTCTTGATTTCCTATTTTAAATTTCACCAATTTGTGTTCTTCATTTTTATTTCTTCTGCTGCTTGCTTTACATCTAACTTGCTCCATTTCTGGTTTCCTAATGGAGAAGGCAAGATGACTGATTTTAGATCTCTTTTTCTAATATATGCATACAGTGCTATAAATTTCCTTCTGAGCGTTATTTTGTTGCAACTCACAAATTTTGTAAGTTGAATTTTCAATATCATTCAGTTAAAAATATTTAATTTATCTTGGCGTTTTTCTGGCTTTGACCCCATGTATTACTTAGAGTATAGTAGTTAATTTTTAGTATTTTTATGTACTATTTAATGTAGTAAATTTAGTATTTAATGTATTATTTGTGTACTATTTTATTCTAACAAGTAAACTAGAATTTTCCAGTAAACTTTCTGTCACTACTTTGGATTGTTTTTTTTTTTTTTCTTTCACTGTGGTCTCAGAATAATTTCTTTCCTCCTTTGTGACCCAGAACATGATTTGCTTTCATCAGTGTCCTATGTGTGTCTGAGAAGAATGTGATCTGCTATTGTTAATCAGAATCATCTATAGATGACCATTAAATCCAGTTGATGACATTGTTAAATTCAACCAGTCACCTTCATTGATTTTCTGCATGCTGGCTTTGTCCATTTTTTATAGCATATTTAATCCAAACATAATAATGGATTCACCTATTTCTCCCTGAAATGATATGAGTTACTACTTCATATATTTTTATACTCTGTTACTAAGGAAGTAAATGCCAACAGTAAAACTTAGGAAAAAAATATAGAAGAAAAGCTTCATGACCATTAGATTTGGTAATGATTTCTTGTGTACAAAATAAAAAACAAAAACAGGCAACAGTAATATTAATTGAACTAAATTAAAAGTAAAAACTTACATGTATTAAAGAATACAATCTCTAGAGTGAAGTGGAAACTCTAGAGAAAGCATTCACAAGTAATATATCTGACAAGGATTAGTATCTAGAATGAACATATACAATAACTGCATTAACAGAAACCTAAAGCAACATAATTAGAAAAACTGGCAAAGGAATAGCTATTTCTCCAAGGAAGATTTTCAGCTTGTCGGTAAGCACAGGAAAAGACAATCACATCACTAACAATTACACGAATAGTCAAATCCACAATGGGACACCACCTCGCCCCAGTAAGGATACCTACTATGAAAAATATGAAGTAACAGTATTTTGGAAGCTGTGGAGATAGCAGAACACTGCACTGCTGATTGGGAATGTAAAATGAGGGCACTAAGGCAACTTTTCGAACAACACAACTACCACGTGATCCAGGTAGTATACAGATCCAAGGTAAGATCCAAAACATTGACTCCAGCAGATACCCATATTCACAGCAGCATTATTCACAACAGTGAGAAGGTGGAAGCAACTCAAGAGTCTGCTGACTGATGAATGAACAAGCAAAATGTAGCCCATACATAGATACATACATACATACATGAAAGTATTATACAGCTGTTAAGAGAGGGTGTTGGACATTTGCTACATCTTGAATGAACCTTAAGGACTTTATACTAAGCCAGCCAGAAAAGGAGAGAAAATGTATGATTCCATTGGATAAGGGTACAACATAATCAAATTCACAGAGTTGGAAAGTAAAATAGTGGTTGCCAGGGATAGGAGGGACAAGGGAATGGGGACTAACTGTTTAAAGAGTTAAATTCTCAAGATGAGGAGTTATAGAAATGAATGTTGGAGGTGGTACCCTGGAACTGTAGAATAAAAAGGTCAAAACAGTACATTTTATATATATTTAAACTTTTTTACATTTACTTTTTAAAAAACAATGAAACTATCAGGTTTGCAAGAGCAGCAGTATCACAGTCATCACTATAGGATATTTAATGACCACCAGCCAAAAAGACAGACTGTGGACAGTGAGGTCTAGTGTGATGAAATGCAAGACCCCACACCAAGCGGCCCAGACTCTTCCTTCTTAGGAAGAAGGACAGGGCACACTTCCCTGTGGCCTGCACAGAGCAGCTATCGTCCCAGCCTTGTCTGATTACTTATCTTTATTCCTTGTCCCCAGTATAGCCCCTTTAGAAAGGAAGACTCAATAAAACACTAAAAACAAATTAATTTGGAATTTTTATCACATGAAAATATAACTGACCTTAGATGCTACTTATATAAGAGATTTTTTTCTGGTGGTTCTAGGATAGCAGTAATATTTATGATCAGAGTTCCTAACTGTAAGTATTGTAAGTACCTTCATGTATCTTCTAAAGATTTAATAGTCCCATGACTTTTAAACTAGAATATTAAGGTAACTGTGGATTCACATGCAATTACAAGATATAACACAGAACCTGTGTACTTAGCCCAGTTTCCTGCAATAGTAACGTTTGGCAAAACTACACAACCAAGATATATTAATAAAATCCACTGATCTTACTCAGTTTTCCCTAGCTTTATTTCTCACTTGTGTCTCTGTGTGTGTCAAGCTCTATACCATCTTATCATCTGGTGACATCTGTGTATCCACCCCCATAGCCAAGTTGTTTAAACTGCTCTCCTCACCGGAAAGATCCCTCTTGCTGCCCTTTTAGAACTGTGCTTCTGTCATCTCTCAAGCCCTGTCCCTCACCCTGGGCAACCACTAGTCTATTTGCAATTTCTAAATTCTGTCCTTTCAAAATAAAGTGGAATCCTACAGTGTGTAACTTAATAGAGTTGGCTTTTTCACTCAGCATATTTCTCAAAAAAGTCATCCAAGTTACTGAGTGTTCAGCAAGTAGTTCCTTTTTACTGCTGAGCAACGTTCCATGCTATGGGTGAATCAGAGTTTAACTTCACTTGTTGAAGAACCTCTGGGATGATTCTAGTTTTTGGCTGTTAGAAATAAAGCTATTATGATCATTCATGTATAGGTATTTGTATGAAGTATTCCTGTAACTTTCCAAGTTCATTTTACAAATTCTGATTTTGAAAATAATGATTCATTAAAGCAGTAAAATAGTAATTTATCACTTTGCACGAAAAAGAATATAGTACTATACTCACCAATAAAAGCACTATCAGATTCCAACAATGAATTTTTCAAGAAATCATTAGTGTCCTCTCTGGACTAAAAGAAACATCAGATATTAATGGCTATTTGTAAGAGATTCCTGTGCCAGAAAACAAATTTGTACTAAGAGGTAACACGAAGTCTCCACACTGTGCCCCTCACCCCACCTCCCAGAAAACAGGAGACCAGGAAGAGAGCCGGGACTGACTGCTTCCCTCTGAACACCACACTCCAGAGCCCAGACAACACTAAAAAGTCTTCCCACATACCACCCCACCAAGACAATGAGGACAACAGGAAGATCTGATCTCTCCAGTGCTGAGAGTCTGGCAAAAAAATTACTCTCTAACTCCACTCCCTTATTGCCCTCTTGTGGTTGAAGTATCACAATGCTCCTGGTGAAAATAGCATGAAGCAGGGAGTCCAAATGGAGGTTCATTCATCCTTTCAATAATTTGGTGTGTTGCACTTACTACCTCTTCCATGCTAGGAACTGGGAACACAAAGCTGAATTAATAAGAACTTCTGCTCTGAAGCAAACAGTCTGTCCCACAGAGGGGAGGGGGGGACATCCCCTCAATAACAGCAATTGTGATAACAGAGCAGATGCGAGACATACATAGTAGAAGAAAATAATGTAAGCATTAGACTATTACAGTGAGTTCCCAGATGAGAGATAAATTTACAGATAGAAATTTTATAGTAAAGGGCCAGAGGGAGCTCAGCAGTCTAAAGCACCTGCCTAGGCAATTCCAAGGACCGGACCATGGTTGACCCCAGGAACCACATGCCATGCCAGCACTGCCCCAGGGCAGGCTGAGCTGGCCACAATAAATAAATAAATAAATAAATAAATAAATAAATAAATAAATGTGTGTGTGTGTGTGTGTGTGTGTAAAGAGCAATCACTATATGTCAAAAGGAACTAAAATCATCCAACAACATCTCCCTGCACTTTCCCACCAGATTTCAGGCCTTCAGTTGAACATTTCAGCAATGAGCTGCCTGATAATTTTTAAGGAAATGAACTCCACTCATGCATATCCCTCATTATCAGCAAGTTCTCTTGAACTCTCACACGCTGACTTTCTATCTCCTTGTAAATTTACCACCCCGTGGCTGCTGCTTTCTAGCAAGATAATGACAATCATAGCAACTACATTAAATGGTCCGAACAGCTGTTCTAAGCATTTTCACACATAACGCCCAACTCCTCTGTCTCGCCATCCTTAATGAAGCGATCAACATCCATCTGTGCCTTATTTTTTCCATGGCAATCATCCCTCATTTCATCCTGGATGGTTTTTATATAATCCAGTTTCTGGTAAGATTATGAGTATAAAAAATATTTTTTGTTTGTTTTCTTTGGCACTAGAGATCGAACCGATTCTTTATCCTGACCTGCATACCCAGCTCTCCCCACAGCTCACATTTTTGAGACAGAATCTTTCTAAGTTGCAAAGGTTGGCCTTGTACTTGCAGTCCTCCAGCCTTGGCCTCCCAAAGAGCTTGGATTATATGTGTGCTTCTCTACCTGGCTTACCTTTTTTTAAACAACCATGACAAACGTGGAATACACTGAGCTGCTTTTTGGCAAAATCTACTATTAATCCAGTATTTGAACCAAAATCCCTTATGTTAAATTTCAGTAAATTTTGTATTTAACTGCCACTACAAAGAAACCTACCACACTACCATCTTTCCAGACAGATGTAGAGGCACCTCAGGCCACCTGGTAGGGGACTGTTAGGAACCCTGAAGCCTAGGCTCAAATCTGGATTATACTGCTTATTCGCTGTGTGACTACTGGCAATAAGAATTTAAATATCAGCTTAGAAACAAGCATACTTGGAAATATAGAGCACTAAATGGTGGCTATTAGCAACACAATCATTATCATCATCAGGTCGAAACTGAGCCCAACACTAGCTGGTGGGCCTGACAGCGAGAATGTAGCTGAGCCTTCTATAATCTGGAGGTGGATATATATAGACTGGAGGTGGATATATATAGACTATTACAGTGAGACATACTCCCTATGCTGTAAGCATGCCAGGAAGATTACATTTGTATTTACAACTTCATCTTTTCTCCTGAACTCCGTGTACTTGCCAGCTCAACTGTCTAAAACACAGTTCAAAATGTACCATATCAAAACTAAATTCCCAACTACTCCAATTTGTTTTTCCTGCTTCTACACCACTATAAATAGCAACTCCTGTCCCAAAACCAAGAAATCCATCTCTGATTTCTCATATTACCATTCCCATGAGGGACTCTACCTGGAATGCTCCTCCTCTCCGTTCTCCCAGGATTTTCCATGGTCACCTCCCTGATGTCATTCCAACATCACCTCCTTAGTGAGAGGGTCCCAAGCTGCTGTATTTTAAGCTGTCCTCCAAAACCTCAAAGCTCCCAACCTCCTTTTCCTGCTACCATTTTCCCCCAGTGGTTTAACATACACAAGATCCATTTGTAGTCTCTCTGTCTAGAATGTAAGCTCTGGGAGGGCAGGGATTTCTTTCACTCTTGCTAACTCCTATACTAGAGGCACTTGGAACAGTTTGTGGTCCATAGAACATCGAATAGCTCCAAGCTCGAACTTCCCACCACTTAAACAGCAAAGTTCAATAACAATCTGCTTGGGGTTCTTAACTTTGCTCAGTAGTCGAACTGAAAATCCAACTTGGAAAAAAATCTCTTATACCAGCTAGGAGTCACACATGTGTCTCACCGAGGACACAAAGGGGTGACACTTTAGTTTCAGCATTGCTCTTGCCCGGACAAGTGCTTGTGTTAGTGCATTAAAACATTTGCCATTGTGCTTGCATTGCATTGCATTTGCATAAAAATCATAACGATGGCTCCAAAGAGAGGTAGCGCTATCAGCAGTAAAGCTAAGAGGAAACTGTGAGAAGCGCGATTAAAGAAATCATAGTGGGCTGGGGCACAGCTCAGCAAAACAAGAACCTGCTTGGCAAGCACAAAGCCCTGAGTTTGATTCCCAGTACCAAAAAAAAAAAAAAAAAAAGAAAAGAAAAGAAAAAGAAAAAAGAAATCATAGCAAAATTTGTTCAAGTCCTGGAAAAGTGAATTTATAAATTTTAGGCCTCAGAACCAATTATGTTTTTTTCCAGTATTTCTTATGGGATAAATATGTTGTTTTGTATTTTTTTCAGTGCTTAAACATAAACTTAGAAAAAATTGATTCTGACAACTATGGCGCAGTATCACTATATTCCCTGAATATTTGTTAAGTGAAAATCATTTATCCCTAGCTGAGCACAGTAATGCATGCCAATAGCACAGCGCTCTGGAAGGCTGAGACAGGAAGATCACAGGTTCCAGCCACACCAGGCTAACTCAGCATGAGCCCGTCTCAAAATAACACAATTTTAAAAGAGCTGGTAATATAGTTAAGTGCAAAAGCCTCAATCTCTAGTATCCAGCCCATCAAAAAAAAAAGGGCTCAGCCCCAGCCCTTCCCTTTATTCAGTCCTAAAGAATACCACCTCCTCAACACAGGCGTACTCTGTCTTCTTACCTTACTTATTTTCTTTGTAACTCGCCACTGCTTGCTTAATTATGGACTCTTATTTCACTGCTGCTATTACTGACGAAAGCAAACTTAACTCTGGACTTGGCATGAGGCAGGCCATACTCTTAAAAGCATATACATACTGCTATATATTCTTACCACAGTCTTTGTGTCGTATTTTTTACTTAGTAGATAAATAGAACTTATATGTCAAACTTATCTCTAAAGGCCTTAAAATTACTAATTTAATACTTAAGCCATCCCTGGAGGTATATACTATATTCATTTTACAGATTAGGAAACAGGCGCAGAGAGATTAATCTACCAAAAATCATACAGCTAAGAGACTAACTCGAATAGCACAGCACCAGAACCTAATCCAGCCATTATGTTTCTCTGCATATTATACTAACAGTTCTCTACCCACTTGCACTGATGAGAAAAAATTTAGTCTTTATTTCAATATTCCTGAAAAATTCAAAATTTGAAATATTTATATATTCTTAAAATACTTTTGTCCTAAACCTAACTTGAGAAATTCGAACCGGTTGCTTACCATTCTGTGCTCTCGTACTTTAGTACTTGGGATGGTGTCTAAGTCAACTGTAACCAATGGAGAACAAAAGCAAGGTCAGAAGTTTAGAAAACGTTTAAGAAGCAAAAATAAATTTCAGAATATCTTTCTTTTTTAAATCTTCTTTATTTGGTTCGTGGTCTTGTTACACAGCTCAGACTCGTAGTGGTCATCTTGTCTGAGCCTTCCCAGAGCTGGGATTACAGGTATACGCCACCACACCGTTTCAAGTGGCATGGCACAGCGTGCCCAAGGTTACTGGGCTGGCACAGCATGCAGCACTGCGCATCGAACTCATATCCTTGCGTTGGCCAGGAAGACCACTGAGCTATCTCCCCAGCCCAGAATATTTTGTATGACTAGCTCTTTATTAGAAATTCTTTTTCACCTCCAACACTTCAGAATATTTTTAAGATGCTACCTGCTTACTAGTAAGTGTAACTATATCCATTCTAGTTGGATAAATTTCTCCCATTCACATTGACGAATATAATAAATAAAACCATTGTGAACTTAAAACTGGCACCCCAAAAAGAAAAACATTATTACATGGGCCTTCACCATTTTCTGTCATAGGTCTATGGTTCGTACATAAAGGTGCCAAATGAAGTTAAACAGGCAATTAAAGTAAGTACAATTCTAGGCACCTGACATACAGTTAGACCGTGTTCCCATCAATCACATCATCATCATGTTTGCCAGAAAGGGATGTCACAACAGCAGATGGAGAGCCTCAGCACCCAAGGTACTGATTACCTGGGTATCACTTTTGGCCTTGCCATGATCCCACAAGATCCGATCATCAGATGAGACTTTTAAAGAAAAACAGCCCCACCCTGACTACAGAGACTGCAAACTACGCTTGCGCCTCTCCTTTCTCTAGATGAGGCACTGCTTGTAGCATGTGGTCATTCTGCTACCACTGGGGGATACACGAGGTTGTTATGAAAACTGTACAGGTGATGGGAAGATACCCCATAGAAATGTTTATCGAATCAACTGAGACTCGGGCCCAAGGCTTCCTATCATTTACTCCTCTGATGCAGTCTCAGAAGGTCACAAAAGCTGCCTCAGATTCTGCGAGCCACAGCAGCTTACCATAATACAGGTCAATTTTTCTCGAAGTAATAGGCATGATCACTCCTCCTATTTTTATCTGATTATTGTGGTGGTGTTATTTTTTAGCTCATTTTCCCTGGCTAGCTTGGATGACCTAAAGGCCAGCAAAATGGATGACACACAGCTGCGGGGGCCATGCAGTACGCCTAGGTGTCAACAGACTGCATCGGTGCTCTCTGAGCCAACCAGCTCCACTCAGCTTCCAGGGGCGCAATCCCATAGAACCTACATGTTCCCCTAGGATACTTTACACTTATTTGGAATCTGACTTCTCCAGAAGAGATAAATTCCTTGAGAGCAGTAGTCTGTTTCACTCATCACCATTTCTTCTACTTAAACATCAGTACCTGTGCTCCTCGTAGGCATTTGTATCTGCTGATTAGATGATGATACAAAAACGTACAGTCCCTTCAAGTAGTGCAGAGGTTACCTGGGCTGATCTAAGCTTCATCCTGCTGACTACAGCCAACAGCCTCTCAGCCATGGGCATCACACACACACACACACACACACACACACACACACACACAATCAGAGTGTTCCCTGGGATGAATTTTTCTTTGTTGGGGACTACACATCAAACACTGCCTGTGGAGGGGATCTGTCTGGGACTGAACTCAATGCAAGAGACAAAGCAACTCAACAAAAGAGCCACTTACCAATACTATTTGAAACAGTAATGACTGTTCCTTACCTTCAGCACCTTCTTGCATTTTTATTCTATTCAGCCTCTTCTGCTGCTCTCTGAGCAGGGCTTGCTGCTGAATTTCTAAAGTGTGACGATCTCTTGGAGGATCTGGGTACATCAATTTCAAATCAACTCGTGTTTCTGAATCTGAGGCATACAATACAAAGTTTAATTTTGTTTTCAAGTGAGATTTTAGACACAAAAACCTGCACACAGATGGTTCTAGCAGCTTTATTGCTAATTGTCAACCCATGGAAGCAACCAAGATATACTTCAAGAGGTAAATGGAGAAATTCACCCATGCAAGTAGGCCATGATGGCCTATTATTATACAGTAAAATGTTAGTACTAAAACAAAATGAGCTATTAAGCCATGAAAATACATGGAGAAAACTTAAACATATATTACTGAGTGAAAGAAGGCAATCTGAGAAGGCTACACATAATATGATTCAACTTATATGACATTCTAGAAAAGGCAAAGCTATAGAGACAAATGAATAAATGACTGGCTACTACTAGGATGAAGAAGGAAAAGTTGAATAGGCAAATTATTCTGTATATTATAATATTCTGATATGACATATTACAATGATATGTTACCTTTGAACAGTTTTCAAACTTACAGAACATACAATATCAAGAATGAACCCCAGCGTAAACTTAGAACACATATTGCTATCTCAGTGTGGGCTCATCAGTTCTAATAAGATGTTCCACTGTAGCTCAGAATGTCCATAATGGGGGAGGCTGGCGTGTGCGGGGGCAGACAGTATACGGGAACTCTCTGTACTTTATATTCAATATTGTTGTACACATAAAACTGCTTTAAAAATTAAGCTTATTTTTTAAATAAGACTTTAGGGCCAGCCAGATAGCTCAGTGGACTAAAGTGCCTGCTTATGCAGGCGCAGCAACTCCGATCTCCAGCTTGCCGTGTTGGCCCCGCCCCCAGGGCAAGCTGAGACAAATGAGACTGGGCGAGGTGGTGCGTGCCTGTAATCCCAGCACTTAGAAGGCTGAAAACAGGAGGATCACTAAGAGTCCAATCTGTGTAGTGAGACCCTGTAGACCCTGTACTAAAAATAAAAAAAAAAAAAAAAAAAATCAAGGTTTTATATAACTTTACTATAGGTAACAAAAGTGGAATTATTACTAAAGTCAGAGGACATTAAAGTAGCCATAAAGATCATGAAATTTATATTCTTTAATAAATGCCTTTTTGCAAACTCAGTGACATTATAGGAAGCTCCCAGAATAAGCAGGAGCTTCCACTGAGGCATTCTACAGACCTACTGCTGCCTCCCCACTACATGCAGGCATATACAGCCAAGGGATTAGTCACATGGCTGACTCAGGAAGCCATGAGATTATGCAATCATGGCACATCTCTAATATCTGTATACTGAAAAACTGCTATGCATGGTAGAGTATGCCTCTAATCCTAGTAGTCAGGAGGCTGAGGCAGAAAGATCACCACTGAGTTTAGGGCTAGCCTGGTGACTTCAAGGCCAGCCTGAACTATACAGCAAAATCCTTTTCCAAAAGCAGAACAAAAAATAAAAAAAAAAACCATGCTGAAAAATGGAAATAATGTTACTAGCTAATTTTTCCCTCCCAAATAAATATCAAAAGTTTACAAAAAGCAAGTAAACTTACTGGAACTTTGTAAAGGATGTCCTTACTAGAAGAAATGACAGTCTGAGAGCTCACCTCTGCTGGAACTATATGAATTATCAGTTAAGAATTCAAATATTAAGTATGTGGTTCTTAAAAATAAAAATACAGTTCACATACAAAAAACTTCCTGCATGCAGCCAGCAGCCAGGCCCAGCACCCGCCAGAACCTCCCATGTCCAGCTAGCAGCCCGGTGCATGGGACATGTGGCCTGCCAGAACCTCCCTCCAGCCAGCAGTCAGGCCTGGAGTACAACCCTGTGGCAGAACTCCCTGCAAGAGAAGTTAGGTAGGGGCAAGATCCAGCCAGCTAATCCAGAAGCAGATCAGCTTGCCAGTGGGGCACAGCGGGTTCACCTCCACGGGCTACAGAAGTAAGAAGCCCAGCACAGCAGCCAGACCCAAGCCAGGCCCAGCTGGACAAGTTCAAACTTGGTAGATCTGGACCCGGTAAGCTGAGACACTCTGCTAGACCCAGATCTATGAGAGCATGAGAGCATGAGAACATGAGAGCATGAGAACATGAGAGCATGAGAGAGAGAGAAACAGGTAAGTGGGGTGAAAGTCTGCCTGAAAGACTCCAGGAACATCAAGAGGAAGTGGTCAGACAAAACTTAGGGTAACTAATTTAAATACAAATTCCCAATTTAATATCTGCTTAGCTATACAGGCATAATGCTTGCTCTTATGGTCTAAAATACAAACCCATTAGTTATAAGAGTTTGTCAATTGTTAAATCTCACTACCCATTTTAGTGTTTCTAATTGTAATACTGTAAATACAAAACTGTAACTGCCTTAACCACATGGGTAATAATATCAGTAGGTCCTAAGGTAATTACTGCACCAAAGCTCTACACCAAAGGTCAGAAGACGGTGCTACACAAAATAACAGAGAGAAGGAACAAAATGCATTCTCAGGCCCTGAGCCTGCCCAGAACAAATGCAGGAGACAATAGCATAGAAGAAATTGGAAATCACACACTGGAAATCTCTGAAATAATAGTGTCAGAAGTAAAGAGACAACTGCAGAAAGGTATAGAGGAAATCAGATCAGAAATAATATCCGAAGAAAAGAAATGATAACTATAATGAAAGAGTAACTAAGTGCTTCTAAAGACACTGATTAAAAAAAAAATAGAGAATAGAAAAACGATGGAATACTTGAATGAGCAATATAGGAAATAAATAGAATGCATGAAGCAGATTCAAAGAGATATACAGGTAATTAAAATCTAATTCACAGGCTGGCAAAACCATTTGAATGAGAGTGAAAATAGACTTTCAGACCTTAAAGATACCATTGCAGCTAAGGAAAAGCTAAGAAAAGATCTCTTAAAAACTAGGATGCAAGAAAAAATAATTCAACATCTGTAAGATGATGCAAAGATGAAGAACATAGGCTAACAGCCAGCAATGAGAAGGAAGGAGTCAATACAAATGATATAAAAAGAATATGGGCAGAAGTAATAGCAGAAAACTTCCCAAATATGGGAAAACAATCTGACATTCATATAACCAAAGCATACAGAACTCCAAATAACATCAACCCAATTAAAACCACACCCAGACATATAATAATCAAGATCCCAGAAATTCTGCAAGGAACAGTATGCTAAAAAGCTGCTTAGAGAAAAGAAACATCACATTTAAAGTAAAACCCATCAGAATAACAGCAGATTTCTCTTCACAAGCCATCAAGGCAAGAAGAGCATGGAGCAAAGTACTTCACGTCTTGCAAGAAAACAAATTGCAACCCAGACTGATATACCCTGCAAAACTCTCTTTCAAGTTTAATGGACAAGTAAAATACTTCCATGACAAACAACAACTAAAGAATTTCATGATGACAAAGCCAACTGTACACAGACTACTAAAAGATATTCTAGAAAGGAATCAAAACAACCACAACTCCACAAATGGGAACAGAAAGAACCTACCAAATAGGGCAAACATTTAAGCACAGGAGAAAAATAGATAACCAACAGTAGGAAAATAACATGTCAAACATAAGGCAATACATCTCAATTATAACCACCAATGTAAATGGACTCAATTCACCAATTAGAAGAAACAGACTAGCAGAGTAAATTAGGAAGCAAATCCAACATTATGCTATATATAAGAAACACACTTAAAGAAATTCACAGGCTGAAAGTCAAAGGATGGAAAACTACTACATGCCCCAGGACTCAGAAAAAAGCAGGGGTAGCAATCCTGTTCTCAGACAGTCTCAACTTCAAACCAAGAATGATCAAACGAAATAAAGGCCACTACATACTGGTTAGGGGAAAAATACAAAAGGAAGAAGTAACACTCATAAATATGTACGCACCAAACATGGGAGCACCCAACTATAAAAGACAAATCTTAACGGATGTGAAAAATCTAGTATCTCGTACCACAATCTTAACAGGAGACCTTAATACCCCCTTATCCCAAAAAGATATGTCAAGCAGACAAAAGTTACAAAGAGGTAGCAGAACTGAACCAGAGCTTGGAACAAATGGACTTAGTGGACATCTACAGAGTGTTCCACCCAACCACAGCTGAATACACATTCTTTTCAGCTGCACATGGGATGTTCTCTAAAGTAGAACACATATTAGTCCATAGACAATGCTTAAGTTTATTCAAGAAAACAAATTATCTCATGCATATTATCTGACCATAGTGCAATGAAACTGGAAATAAATGACAAAAACAATCCATAAACACATGGAAATTAAATAACACCCTCCTCAGCAACCAATGGATTACAGATGAAATTAAACAAGAAATTAAACATTTTCTACAATTTAATGAAAATTCAAGCACAACTTACTGGAATTTGTGGGATGCAATAAAGCAGTTCTTAGAGGGAAAGGGAAAGAAATTTTCCAATGGGAAGGATGAACTGGGATTAGAAATACATATGCAAAATGGTTGAGATGATTGTATTGTCGATTTCTACTGGTCTTTTGAAAGCAGCAGTTAATGTTTAATTTTTTTATTCTGATTTTTTTTCTTCTTTTGAATTTCATATAACTTCTTTGTTTTCTTTTTAATGAATCTTACACATTTATATCTGGTAATGTGAACAACTAATTTGAAAACAGCATCATGCAATATAGCAGCCAATGTTAAATTCCTATTTGTCTAATGAAATCTTGTATCATTTCTATATCTCTATTTTGTATTCTTGAAAAATGTTATATATATATGTTTTTTGAAAACATTTCCTTTGTCCCACTAATTACACTTCTGGGGTATAACTTAAAGAAATGACACTAAATATGTAAAAAATTTTATGATCAGACATTATCAGAAGAGTAATAGTGAAAATGGTTAGCGCATCCCTACAAATCCCAGTAACTGGAAAGCCGGAGGCAGGAGGATCACAAGTACAAGGCCAGAGTGGACATTTAGCAGGACTCTGTCTCAAAATAAAACTTAAGGGGCTGGGAATACGCCTAAATGGGGGAGCACTTGCCTCACATATGCAAGGTTTTGAATTCAATCCCTAGCACCAAATCGGAAAAAAATAAAAAGGGGAATAGGAAGCATCTTGACTACTGAAGAATTAAACAATGGTTAAGAGCAAAGTGAACAGCTGAGGCTCTGGACTCAAACCCAGATGCAGCCCTGGCTTTACCACCTCCAGGTTGAGCCTCAGGGTAAAAAATACAGCACCGTACCACGCTGGACAGCCCCCGGGCATGCTGAGCCCGCAACCAAGTCCAGGCGTGGTAGCATACACTCTAATCCCAGTGCTGGGGAGGCAGAACACAGGAGGATCACTACAAGTCTGAGCGGTGTAGTGAGACCCTGTACCAAATACATAAATTAAAAAGAAAAAAATACACAATGCCAACAACTAGGTCACAGGTTAAACAAAGAACAGATGTGGTGACACAGACAAATGAATGGCTCAATTCTATGTTTGCCTTTGTCACCATGAGTTCTCTTTACACTCTTAAAAAACTAAAGACCTCTAGGGAAAAAATACTTCTGAATTTAAAAAGAAAACTTAAACATGCATCACATACATACATGCATACACACACACACACACACACACACACACATATATATATATGCAATATTTAAAATTAAGTTTTTGTAACATAATACAAAAATACACATTCTATGAACTTCACAGAGAAAGTCATCATTTGTCATATGGCTTCTGGAAAACCTGAGTAAATATGAGACAAGAATGGAAAAAAAATAAGAATAGCTTAGTTTAAAATAAAAACTCTATAGACAAAATTCTGAGACTCACTGGCTTAATATAATGCCTAGCCGAATTATCAATAAAACAGAATAAAAATAACATATATATATAAAACTATGATATATGTAAGTCTAAGCAAAAAAAAAGAGAGAAAATTTAAAAGTAACACTCATACCATTGTTTTACTTTAGTATAAGTTATGCTCAAAAAGACCATAAAAATCCAAAATTTTAATGGTGTCTGTATACAGGTGTGATTTCTGTAGACAGTGATTTCTATTTCTTTAGATATTTAAAATTTTGCTCTGTTTAGACAGGTATTATCTTGAAAATGAAAAAGTTTAAATTCTAGATTTTTCTGGCTTTCTACGATGACCACACAACCAAAAATTTGCTTTCTCAGCTCTCAGACTTGCTCTATCAAATCTTTAAAACAAGGTTTTTGTTCTCCGAGGACTCCTTAAGTCCTATATTTTTCTTCCACTCTCACTAAGGCTATATGAAAACTGGTCAGCTCTTTTCTCTCACATCCTCTCCACTCCCTCCCGCCTACGAAGGGCTGTACTCTCGTCTACCAGCAGGCCTCGTCTTCCTGTCTCCCGAGCCTCTTCCCCCTACGGTGTCTTTTCACACTGCAGCCCACCTCCAGGAGCCTCTGTTCCACTTCCCACACAAGCTATCTCCCAGGGTGAACTTGGACCAACTGCCTCCCACTCAACCCTCTTTCCAAAGTTAACTGGCTTCTGATCCCATCATTCTACAGAAGAAGACCTAGATCACCAGTGCCTCTGAGCCACCTGAACCCTGAGATCCTCTCACACAGTCCCTCCTCAACACATCCACCTCTTCCCACAGCTTTCACCAATACTCTTCTGCTTTTCCGCGAATCACTGTAGCTTCTCCTCCTTAGTTTTTCTTCCAAGCTCCCTTTTGCTGCCCATCTCCATTATACAAGGTCCATTTCTTCACACTAATCCATACGATTTCATCCACACTGAGGCATCTATGTACCCTCCAAAAAACAGTCTATGTCAAATTGAAGCTTCCTCTACCAGACTGACAAATTCAGTATTTAAAGGGTACAGATGTTTTATTTATAACAAAATTAATGAAGCTTTACTTTTGAGAAACAGTACACAGGTACCTCACTTTGCAAACTTAATTCATTGCACAATTCTAGAGAGGAAGGCCATGCTCATGTCCATGTAGGAGAAAGGTGGCCACGGTCACAAACACACAGAAAATTTTGCCAAACTCTCTGTCCATGAACCAAATTGTTCCCAAATAAGAGCACTCGTTTATTTCACTTATGAGTATATGTTCAAGTGGCATCCACTTCAATATAAAGGCTTCGAATTTATCATTCTGAATAGCTGAATAATACTCCATTGTGTAAAAATACCACATCTTTTTCAACCATTCCTCAGGTGATGGGCATCTTGGTTGTTTCCAAGATTTGGCTATCACAAATTGTGCTGCTATAAACATAGGCACACATACCTGCTTTACCTTGGTCTTAACCATCCAGCAGAAAAGTATAAAAATAAAGTATAAGAAGTAAAGCCATGCTGTTATGTTGAGCTGTAGGGGACTGAGGTCAACAATTTCTGACATTGCCAGTCAAGTGGAAGACCCAATACTATTATGGGCTACTGGACTCTTTTAGAATATTTTGCTGAGTTTACACACCTATAATTTTCAAATAATGGAACTTAACAAAAAAAGGGGATACAGATGAATGTCCATTTTGTATCTGTGTATTCAAAGTGGTTAAGATATATAGTTACATTCTCTTAATGAATAGAGGGATTTGTTCTAATGGTGTTTGTAAGTAGGATATCATGTCTGCATCTTGTACAGCAATTAACCACTAGGAAGAATGTATGCAATGTGTTAATTATTGAAACTGTCCTACCAATTTGGTTTGAAACTCTCTCATTGCTATTTGTTTCTCAATAAAATTATGAAAAAAAAAAGAGCACTCGTGAACTGAGGGCCCTGGATACAAGCATTTTCAAAGATCCCAAACACCTTTGAAGCAGCGCATACTCACCTCTATCTTTTAGCACATTAAAGTCATGAATATTCTGAAAGGTAGTAGCGTCTAAGCCTTTAGGGGACTGTCTTCTGACAGGAGCTTGCACTCGATGTCTGGCCATGTCAAATATATCCATGGGATTCCTTTCTCTTTTCCTATACGTAAGTAATAAACCACAATAATTGGGGTTAATGGGACAAAAAATCTCAGTTTACATTTAATTCACTATAAAAAAATTGGCGTCTTTCACCACAATATATTTTAAGTACATTATTCCATCTGTTACTTCAGTCTCTCAAAAAAAGGTATTTATAAGATCATTATAATCATATAAAATATTCAGAGGTAAGATACCTTATTACAAGAGCAATTCAGCTTTACCATAAAGTATTCACAGAGTTAAAAGATCAGAATTTGGGAGGATGGTTCTTATAGCACTGAGGACTACAAGATTTTTATTTTATTGTTTTTAATTCTGAGACAGGGTTTCTATAAAGGACTAAGTTGTCCAAGCTGGGTTTGAACTTGAAGATCACAGTATTTGAGAGCAGAAAACTGAGATTCAAAGACCAGCTTTGCTACTTATTAGCAGTGTGACTTTGATTCCATTAGCTGTAAGATAGAAGGTCTATAAATTATCGTCATGTTGAAAGCAAGAGAATTGAGCAATCACATAACATGTCTAGCACAGTAAGCAATGTGAACTAAATGATCAGCAAATTTACTCTTCAAAGAACTAAAATTAGAAATACCATATGACTCCACTGTCCCCTTGTACGTATCTTCCCCCAAGAGCCTAAGACTTCATACCACAGTGATACATGTGAACCAATGTTTAGAACAACACAATTTATAATAGCTAAGTCCTGGAAGTAGCCTGTGCACCCATCAACAGACAACTGGATAAAGAAAATGTGGTATGATGGATGGAATAGCACTTGGCTATTTAAAAAAACGGTAAATTCGGGACATCTGAAGGAAAATGGATACACCTGGAAAACATAATGTTGAGTGAAATAAAGCAGGCACACAGGCTGAGATACTGTATAGTATCTCTATCTGAGTGAGGCAAAATACAGACAAGGAGCGCAGTAAAGGATGACTTAAAAGAGACAAAAGGATAGATCTCTTACAAATGTGACAGCATCTAAAAGAATGTGGGCAAGAGGAGAGGAGCACGGGAAGAGAAATAAGCAGAATAAAGATATGCCATGTACAGGATCCTAATAACCTCAATGAATGCCACTGTATATCATAAACATGGATAAGATTAACAGTATCAACAAGAATGAAAATGGGGAAAGGGGACGGAGAGGAGGGAGGCAGGAAGAAAGGAAAATTTTAAAAAGAATCAAACTATTATGTTCATGTACCCATTCCCCAAGATGATTGTGAACTACATGTACCGCAAATATGAACTGATAAAAAAGTTACTTTCCAAAAACAAAAAAGTTACTTTCCTCTCAGCCCAAACAGTACATAAAACTATGCTATTAACATTCTGACCAATATAGAGAATACTGTGGAATCCTCAACATTGATTTTATAAAAAGCTCCCAGAGAACTTGATCCCTAACAATTCATTGATAAATATACTGCCATTCCTTTGGTATCTAAAAAATTAGTATCCTAGGCAGGTATCTTAAGAAAGGAATAGCACACACACAATAGGAACTCATTATTGTGGGGAATTAAATAATAAATAAGATATTATTTTTTGAAGATTTTAACGAAAGCAGTATAAAAACCAACCAACTCTGAGCCAGGCATAGCAATTCATGCCTGCAGTTCCAGCACTTGGGAGGCTGAGGTAGGAGGATTATTGTGAGTTTGAGATCAACCTGGACAACAAAGTGAGCTTGAGGTCAGCCTGAACTGCACAGAAAGACTGTCTCAAAAAGACAAAATAAATAAATAAATAAAATTTAAATTAAAAAAAAAGAATCAACCCCTAGTCAGGTGTGGTGGTAAATTACTATACTCTGAGCTACTCATGAGACTAAAGAAAGAGGATCCCAAGTTCAAACCCAGACCAGGAAACTTAGTGAAATCCTCTCTTTCAAAAA